GACTGGGCAATGTGTCGGGGCGATTTGTTTGCCTTGCAAGCGAAGCGAAACAAAAGCAAATGCGAAAGCAAAACCTGGGCGTTGAAAAAGCGAGCAAAATGAAGAACCGACCTGCTCAAAAGTGAATATTATTATGAGCGAAGACAACAACAGCAATACAAATTATGATAACAATAATTGTAAGCGCCGGGTCATTTGAGCACAAGCAAACAAAAACAAAAACAAACTGTGGCGCATGAGGACGGTCGCTTCGTTGATCGGGTGGAACATGGAAGAGGTGTGGAGGAGTGAGTGGTGAAAATGCGGCGCGGAAATTATGTGAGAGTCTGTGGCGGTCGTTTATGCGCGTATTTATTTATTTATTTTGCTTTTAATAGTCAAAACATTGGTTTTGTTCTTTTTATTTATTCACTACTTCCTTAAGTGCTTTCTTCCCCATTTTGATTATCGGAAGTTTAATGGCAAAATGTTTTCCCTTTCACTTATTAATCACTGTAAATGGCCGATGCGTACAATTTTATTTATTTACTTTTTTAAAAAAATTTATTTGAGAAACTGTTTTATATTTTTTATGATTTTTTTTTTATTTCTTGTACGGAAATTTAAGGCGTAGGAATTCATAGTTCGGCGATATCTGGAGGTTGTTTTGCGTTGATGCACTTTTTTTTTCAACTTTTGAATTTTGTCGCCTATGGGCTATTATGTAGAGAGTTCTTTTATGTTTGATCAAGAAGAGTTTATCGAAATTACTTAACACTGTGAGTTTGTAAGGATATAGAGTTTATAGAATTAATTCAGTGTTCCAATACTTTGCTCAACACTGTTCCAAGCTTTAAAAAACCGAAACAACTAGCCCAGTTCCAAACTTTGAAACCAAACTGAAGCAATCAGCCTAAAAATTATCTCCGGGTGGGGAGAAGTTCACCGCTTTATATGGTTGTCGGTTCGTCACTATAATCCACAAATATGGATCACTTAACTATTTTATATCCTTGTTCGCACAAATTATTCCAATAAAACAGTGAAACAACATGTGTTGGTCAGGTTCGACCTCAAAAACATAGTGATCCCTGAGTTCATCTACACTTAATCGCGCATCAAGATTACTGTAGTAGTGTTTCGTAAGTAATTCGTCTACACCGAAGCTATAATAGCCTTTACATGTGAGTTTCTTATGACATAAGAAAATGTAAAAGAACTTATCTTGATTTTGGGCGCTTATTTCGTATAGCAGCTATAGGTTATAGTAGTCCAATTTACACTATATTTGAAGCTTGTAGTACTGTAGTATTTCGTGAAGATTTCTTGAGACACATGAACATTTTCGGAGGGTACGGAAAATAAATTGTATATTCCATACTTTAGAATTTTGCCTACATTTAGGCACATTTCCTACATTCGGCAAATGAGTAGCTTCTTCGGGCCAAAAGGACGCGTGCAAATTTTCAGACTGCTAACTCAAACACAGTGAGATCTTTGTGTATAATAAATTTCGTATGCCGGGAAACTGCCGAAAATGTTGCCTACATTTAGGCGTGAGAAACACGAAGAAACAAAAATTTGCACAAAGCTCGATTCATAAATTAACCCAAACAAAAATTATTGTAAGGAAAAAAAATTAACTATGTGGTAATATCTCTTTAAAAATTTAGCGGTACGCATACAACAAAAGAAGGGCTATTGGCTTTAAGTAGGGTGACTTGTATAAAATTGCACTAAAATATTTGCTTCAAAGCCGCACTTTCTCGAAAAGTATGTAAAAAGCAGAAAATTTATGCTAAGTGGCAACTCTGTAAGCAAAAACATGTAATAAATGTTATTTAGTGCATAGCTAAAAAGGTACTATTTCACTTTATTTACCGTTATTATTGCTTTATTTTGCAACTGCAACAAACAGTGACACTCCAGCAATATCGCAAACTTTTCCTTTCATATTCACTGTGGCAAGCGGCAAGTGGTATATGTAGTACGTATGCAAAAGAATTGATTGAAAAATTGCCAAAGCAATCAATCAATCGTGTTTTGTTTTACGACAAATAAATAAATACTTCACCTTGTGCTTGTCGCAATGGCGCAGGAAAGCGTCTGGTGCGCATGCTCACCTGCTCAACTGTTGAGCGAACAAACAAAGGCAACGAGTGCAACGCCTTCTATACAACAAATAAAAAGGAAGGGCGTCTATTGCCGCCAGCGACAAGTCTGGTACGCGGGCAACATAAATACAACAGATAAATAGGGAGTTTCGATGGGTGAGGTGTGAGTGCGAGAAGTGTAGATATACACCTAAAAGGTACCGCTATAGACAAGAGGGCCGGCAAAAGCGCGAAAGCACAAAATTAAATTATGTTTATTTGTTTTTGTAAAATTGTAGTTTTAACTGCATTTAAAAATGATTTGTTTATAGAAACATGTAATTTTCGAACTGTTTCTCTACCCCGCCTATTCTTCTCACTCTTCCTATTTCACCAAACATCCAATTTATGGCTTTGCGAGTCGTAATTTATGAAACATTCCTCTCAAAAGTCACTCATACGCCAGCGTGCACAGCGAAAGGTGGCGCACTCGCCTGCGCCTGCAACTACATAAGCTGTGCAAATTGCATAATGTGCAACTCTGGTGCATTTAAAACTGTACTTATGCAGGCTTTAAATGAAATCTACAACAAGACCATGTCTCCCCGGCTTGTTGCCTGCCACAGTCGTTCGCCACATACTTTAGTGAAATTAAATGACGACAAATGAATAAATTGTTGCAGCAATGACAAGCAACAATGTCGAGCAAAAAATATGCTGGCGTGCCATGTCTAACAAATATGTTAGCTATGTTATTGTTGGCTGCAGCATGTGCGCGCTGTACAAGGTAAGCAATGTTGCAACAATGATAAAAACGTCAAAAAAGAATTGCTGGCTCTAACAAGCGTACAATTGTAGTACAAAAGCGGAAATGAAGACATTGGCTTATTGAACCATATTATAAGCACACTCGTGTGTGTGAATGTGTGAGATATGTGATATAGATTTGACATATATGAAAGACATTCAGCTATATTATACAGTCGTCTCACGATTCCTTCCGGAAAAACTTTTGTTTGTAACTAAATGGATTCGTAAGTTGTTCTCTCTCAAAATAAGTAAGACAAAGACAGTCCGCGAACATGTTGTACCGGTCGAACTTCGGCATATACCTTAGTTGGCCTACAAACCGATTAATCAAAGTCAAGTCCTTGTATAAAAACTTGGTATCTTTTGTATATAATGGGACCTTCAGATCCCTATGTTCCAGTGTGAAAACAAACAAAATTGAACTACAACCACGCCTACCTCCCAAATAACAGAATTTTAAATTCCATGCCCCTAAAATCGGCCACAGTAAGACCCAAAATTATCAAAAGGGTAAAATAACTGTTCAACCCCTAGATACCGAACCATTTTCTACTAGGAACACTTAATGGGAAATCTCGATTAATCTGTGAGATATGTAATTGAAACTCGGAAGTAGTTCTTTGCTAATAGCAGTAGACATATTGGCCAAAAGTGGGTTGAATCGGATGAAGACTTGTCTTAACATACAGCTAATATAGCCATATAGCTAATGCAAAGAGTTCCGAACTTCCGGTTGACCTTATAAATCAGGAAACGTCTAAGTTATCTTAGCAGAAAAGACAGAGCGTTTTCTCTTAGTAGTAACAAGGTATCTTTGTACCTATGATGTTCTATATAAAGTCGAATAAAAACATGCACGAGCAATCACATAATTAATATCACGATTTTCGAACATTCAGCTCACCTTACTCGATATATATTGGTGATGGTAAGTGTAGAAACACTATTAAAAATTGCTTCACTTGTACGACTATTATGCAACTTTCAAACTTCCATTTATATTGAATGAATCACCTCTACTCAAAGTAAATAATAATTTTCATTATGAAAGATATGTCACTCAGTATCTGAGTTTAATATTTATAAAATCTCCAGCTTTGTTCCTTGCGAATTCCAAGAGTATAAAATGTTCGGGCACACCCGAACTTATCGTTTCATTTCGTTATTGTATTATGGAGGGAGCCTTCTTTTGAGGCTTCAAAAAATCAATTTTTTTTTTGCTTAAAGCTCTATAAAAATAATCTAAGAATATTTCCCCAAAGTTATAAATTAGAATTCGAAATATTGTCGAAGCTAGAAGGAAATGGTGACCGAGCGTTTAGGAAATATTTGAGCGCTTGAGCAGAAAGCGAAAACTTTGACGCGCGATTTGTCGGTTTTTCACTTTTAAGCTTTTTCTTAATTGGAAGGCATGATAGAAAAACACTAAACGTCGTATGAAATTAAAAAGGGTACAATTTGTTATCTTTGACATTAAATTTTCTGGTCAAAAGTTTTTAAAATTTTATTATTAACAAATATGAATCTCTTTAAATTTTTTGTTTCCAATGGAAATTACGACCTGCATCCTGCCAGCCGCCCGAGAATGCATCTGGTAATTGCTTCCCAAAGTCAGAATATCATGATGTTTAAATATTTAACTATAAACACCAGAAATTTCGCTTTAATAAATAATTTCTTTTACTTCTAAAAAATTCTCTTAAAAATCGATTCAATTTCTATTAGTAAAGGTGAGATATGTGACCTTTACAATGGTTTTATATATTCATAACTGCATTACTCAAAAGTATAATTTATGTTTTTAAAATTTTTGCGATTCTCAATTATCTGCGCGCCTGCATGTACGCAACACTCATTAGAAATCTAGGACTGTATATGGTATAGTAATATGAAAATTTAGAACTGCGATAGTGAAATCTTTTTTTATAAATAATTAAAAAACAATTTTGAAAACTTTATAAATTTAACAATCTTAGTTAATTATTTTCTCTAGTAATTTGCAAAAAAATGGCGAAAAGATTTGTATCTTAAGCCTTATGTTTAAATCTATATACTGTGTAATAATCCATAAATCAATCAAATGTTTCCAATTCACTTTCAAACCTCAATTTCACTCACCCTCTCCATGCGCGCTGCGCTTCTCATCAACATTCTCCTCGTCACTATCGATGTGCGGAAATGAATTGCCTAAACAGAAGAGTGGCAACGCCGGTGAGGTGCTCGCCGAATTTGTGGCGCCCGCGGACATTTTCAACGGATCCGATGTGTTGSCATTGCCACACGGCGAGCTGATATTATTATTATTGTTATTAGTGTTGTTGTTGTTGTTATAGCTGTTGTGATGGCTGACGTTGCAACGCAATAGCTCATCGCTGGAGGTGCTTCCGCTACTGCCGCAACTCTGTCCCGACGACGTGGAATTCATGCTGTCCTGCCGATTGGTCAGGCGTCGCAACATGAATTTGTTGTTGAGGACTTTGTTTTTGGTGATCAATTCACTGCGTCGCAATGCGCATTTCGGTGAATTTGTTATTGTAGTGTTGTTGCTGCAGCGCATTAAGCTGCTGTTGGTGGCGCCGCCGCCGCCACTGATGCTACTGTTGTTGTTGGCCTCGTCCGATGCCAGCGGCACTGTTGCCGTTGCTGCTGCCGTCGAGGCGGGCATTTGCAGCTCATTCAACGAGACCCGCTCGATGCTGTGCTCAACGCCCACCAGCAAGTGTTGCAACAATTGCGGCAATTCGTCACTCGTCAACATTTCGAGTGTTAATGCGCTTAAATGTGTTGGTGGGGTGGTTGCTACTGCTGTTGCAGTTGTTGTTGTTGTTGCGTTGAAATCGATGTAATGACTTTGAATTGTTGTTGGTGCTGCTGTTGCTGTGTCGCAGATAGCAAATGTGGCCGTTACACTTGCGTGTGCCTGTTGTATTTGTTGTTGTTGTTGTATTTGTAAGCCGTTTGAGGCGTTCCGCCAAACCACATGCAATTGTGGCGTTTCCGTTTTACCAACTGAAAGGAAGTGAAATGAAAAATAATTATAAGACTTTTATTTATTCGGATTATTGAATATTTGCGTATGTGTTGGGATCTGCGCATTAAAAAGCTACATGAATTGACGATAGATCGATGCGATATCGTAAAAGATCGTACAAATGCGAGTTGCGAACAGGTCAGGCTGTTATCTAATCACAGTTGTTGGCAGATATTTTTTCTCACTGGTTTCTACTCAAAGACAGCGCCCAAATACTACTATAAGTCATCAAGACACCTTTAAGCTTAGCTGCCTTAAAATTTGGTCTTACTCTATGCGTATTTTTATAGATCTTTAGCAGTACTGAAAACTGGTTGTAGGATTCAAGATGCCTATATATGTATATATCGTATATATAAGAACTAAGTGTCCCTTATTCTTAAACTGAGGCTTAGGAACTCTACTGACTATAGTACATAAAATTTCCTTTCTTTACCCTCTTCCATATCCGCGTTAGATATATTGCAATACTACAAGATTGGATAAAACAGACAGCTAAAGTTCTGTTGATGGTATTAAACATCTATATATACTTCAGGCTAAGATGTCTTCAGACTAAGATGTCAATAATGCTTTACTCAAGGGTATACCCGATTTATAGCCGCAAAGTAGGCAAATATTTTTTGAAAATTTTTATGTAAGCTGTCTTCAATTCGTCATTTTTGTTCTCGCTATCTTTGCACGCTGTTCTCTTCTCAAAATGATAACATGCAAAGAAAAAAAGTTGTGGAGTTGAATTCGTACAGAAGAATATTTGGACACCCCATTAAACCGGTATAACCACTATTTTATTGCTATCCAAAGTTTTCTTGCAAAAAAAAAAAAAAAAAAAAAAAAAACAGAACATGTACTACAATTGCATTCGTCACTTATCGAAAAGCAAACACCTTAATTTTTTATATAAAGACGAGTGGGACTAAGAGTAGGTTTTTCTTTGTAAGGGAATTTTTAATCCATTTAAAGTATTAAAATGATTTCGGAAGGTGTTCCCCTTTTTTATATTTTTGAATGAAATATCCACTTACCACTTTTAATGCACAAATATAAATCGCCTGGACGTACTAAGGCGTCATCAAGGGCCCCCAATTGTAGAATAACTTCGCCTGTTGGAGTTGTAAGTGGCCATCCTTTACGCCAAAGGACATTCTGCAAAAATATTTAATAATTAATTAATTAAAACAATTTTTACATAACAGGAACAGAATATAATGTAACTACATATATCAGATAAGTGGCGAACTTCAATTATGAAAGTTTTGCAGTTGTAATCACTTAAGACAATTCGGCCGATAAAAAGTAAAAATAAATTATACCAAAGCGATTTGCGTAAGTTTCTTTAACTTTTAGTTCTTGGATGTCATGGATATCTAACTGAAAAGATTTCGAAGAGTAGGTGTCAGTAATGTTGAAAAGGATTCGAACATGTTTATAAAATTTTTATTAAAGTTATAGAAAAAAACTTCAATTGAGGTATCAGATTAAAAACAGTTTTTTGAAGAGAGTTGCCACCTGTATATATTTTTAAACAATTAAATTGTTTGAAGTATTAAAAAATAAGTATCAAACTACATAAGTTTAAGTCACACTTATGCCTTATATATATTTAAAAAGAGTTGCCACCTGTTTGAAAGATTTAACCAGAGTATTAATATTAAGTTGATTGATTTCAGCTAACATTATGCAAATGAAATGAAAATGTTTCAGGAAATTTAAACACTTCTACTCAATATCCAATACATACATATAAGTTCTATTGGTTTTGAATCATGTATGGTATGATTCAAAAAAAAATTATTCACTCTTTCTACCAAATCCGTTTTCTTACAAAGCAACGTTATATAATAATTTGAAACGCCAGATCGCTTTAAATCAATGCAAAACTGGCACCATTCAAAGGCTTGCCACAAATCGACAGCGCATACAAATACATAAATATGTAAATATCCATGTATGTATGCATGTAGACACCACAGAGCACATGCTCATATGTTATGCCTGTCAATTTTCGTCTGATTTTTCTGATATTTAACCTGACCGCCAATGGCAAGAATGCATGCAACCGCTTTCCGCTTGCTCTCAAATAGCAACAAAAACCCAAAAACACAACAACAACAAAATTACGGAAATATCGCCGACATAATCGAATAAGCAAAAATTATAAAGTTTTCAATGCGCCAAAACAGATTGAATAACAACAATTGCAACAAACAACCTGCCACAGAGTTGTTTTTGTTGTTGTACACTTCAAATATTATGTAGTTGAGTGGTAGATATTTACATCATGTGCCAAAAAATTTGAATAGATTACATATTACGAGTGCGACGAGGGCGCCGTGTTGCACAAAGAAATTGCGAAAAAACCACGGCAAACGCCGGTCGATGAAAGAAAAATGAACACAATAACGGTGCCGTCGAGTGAGAGTAATGAAAAGCTGCAGAAATAGCAGTAAAAACACCGGCAGCTAACAGCAATTGCAAGGTTGGTGAGAAAAGCGGCATTGAGATTAGTGGCCAAGCAGAGTTGCACGGGCGCGAGATATGTGTATGGGTGAGCGTATGAGAAAAAAAGAGCGGGGAGAGGGCGCTGCGAGCGCAAGCAGTGGCATGCGGGTAATGTGCTGCCAAAATAAATGTGCGACGGCCGCTGTTGTTGTTGTTGTGCACTGGTGCTGGCGAAAAGATAAAATGCCATGCAGCAACTAACTTTCGTCGACAGTTGAAATTACGGTAACAACACCCGCAAGTGGAAAAAAATCGATTGCTGTTTTGCGATTTACCGTAAGCAGTTTTTTCACATTTTATTGGGCTTTCCCAAAACGTTTAGCAGGCAAAGCGGTGCATTAAAACCAGTGCAACAACAACAACAGAGTTGGAAAATAATCATAGTAACAACAACAAGTCGGGGAATATGAAACTATTATTAATGCATGGAGATGTCTGCAACTATTAGCTGTGGACGTACGCGAAAGTATGTGTGAATATGTGCGCTTGCAACACGAGCGCGGCGTGGCGCGGCGAGTCAGCGTCCGACACTATCAACACTTTGCTCGGCGCAGACGGGCGAGTCTTGGCGCGCTGGCTCGTCTGTATGAACTTTTGTACGCGCATACATACAAACGTGCATGTATGTGTGTGTGTGTATGTGTTTGTGCTCAACCATTGGTTTGTGATGCAAAATTACAGATAAATCATGCAAGTCAAACTTTGGCAATTTTGCTAATTTCAGTTATTATTGCAAAAGCAAAAGGCGCTGGCAAATATGAGTGAAAAAGTAACTCAAATTTATGAAAAGTTAAAAAAAAAACAAATAAATCTAAAACATCATCAGCGCGAAATTTCACCCCCAAGGGAATGTAAAATCAAAAATTTACCAAATTTGTGTTTTGGCAGTTGCGGCAAATGTGAGACCATCCATCCAGCTAACACGCAGCGAGTTCGGCAATGTAACTACAACAAAATTAGCAATAAAAAAATTGGAAAAGCTTTCAGCCGCGACGCCACATTCTGCGTAGCCCGTTGCCATATCGAAATGGAGTTTAAATTATTTTTTGATTTTTGTTTTTTTAATTTTAAAATTTTTTTAAAATATGTGTTTTTTTTCATACATTTTAGGCGAGTTGCGTTTACTCTGTTGCAAATTTTTCACTGCTTCGGTGCTTGCGGGGCGTTTAATTTGCACATCATACTTGCATATGCGCTGGAGCGACATGTGCGCTTGGTTGCCTGCCCAGGCGCCGACTACGAACTACCGATGACGTGCAACATTCAACGCCGCGAAATCAGCGCTAAGAGCAACTCATTTTTCGACTTTAATGTAATAAAAAATGCCGGAGCCCGTTTCATCAAAATAGAAAAATAAATATTTTTGAAAAAGTTTCTTAGCGGACATGGGTGTTGTGGTAGTTTTCTTAAAAATCAACTTTCAAAAGAAAAATATTTGCTTACCAAAGTTTACTATATTTAACTTGTTTGCGTGATGTTTAGCTAGTCAAGCTTATTTTTGAAACTCTTGACTGGCTTTCCATCCAAAAAAGCGAACACAAAAAACGCGAATTCTCCAAATTTCTTTTATAAGAGATGTTGAGTTCTTTCCTCTCTACTGAAATGTATCATTAAAGATAGGCGGCAACTAATGTACAGCCTATAAAAATAAAACTGTGTTGTCAGTCTTGTCAATGTTTTTATATTTGTGGCATAAAACCGTTAGATGAGATGAGAAGATATCCAGTGAATGTACATTTTTTTCAGCTGGAAAAGTCTTGAAGAAAACTCCGTTTGTTGAATATTGAAAAAGGAAAGAATTGAAACCGGAATTTTTACCAAAGAAATTAAACCGTTATAATCAGACTTAACTTAATTTCCAACCAGCTTGGTTTGTTTTTGTATATATTTTCAGGCACTAGCTCAAGTATAAAAAACTGTTACATAGACATTTGCTGAATTTTTTGTTGATTATATTAATTTTAGACTTATCTAGACATCGATAAAGCGTTTGTATCAAATTTCAATGTGAAAATGGCAGATTAATACAGACACCGTTATATAGTGGATACGTCTAAATTCCAATAAGAAAGATAAACCCTACGATAACCAAGCGACGATAACTCGATAACTTTTTATTTGTTAGTGACCACTGAAAATAAAAACTGAAAAATACACTCAAGAGCAAATTTGACCCGGACTAGTACCTCTAAACTATGCCCGAACACTAAAATGAAAAAAACGTAAGTTATTGTTAAACACGAAACGAGAGTCAACGCTCTGTATTCCGCTTTGTGACTTTTTCTAGTTTTGAAATGAAAAAGTCTGTTTCGGGGAACGCGAAATATGTCCAATGACTCAATACATGAAAATCACTATAAAAAACTTTAGCATCGCAAAAAAACCGCTGTCAAACCCATACTTTAAGCCACACGGAAATCAAACTTCGGAAGAATATAAAAACGAAGTCATAATCTAGGAAATTGTATATCGATAAGCTGATCGCATGCAGTTTAAATGGATTAGTCCGGGTCAAATGTGATCTTGAATTCATTTCATACTCAATATTTATGGATTAAATGATCAGCTGGTAAAGAGAGAAGGATATTACCAAATTGAATCAAAATATGTTACCGACCATTCTGACTTGCCTCTAACATAGAATAACTTCAAAAGTCTCTTTTTTATAGAAACGAAAAAAAAAGAAAACGAAGAAAGGTATTCAGCATGCACGCAAATTTAATCGTATAGATTCACATACAAACAAAAGTATATTATTTATGTGTGAGCAGCAAAATAAAATGGCCAAAATGGCAAATTCACATGCAGTGCGACAAGTAAAATCCAAATTAATAAAGATCAAGAGTCCGCTAAAATAAAAACTCAACACCAAACGCCATCGCATCGGCAAACGCGCGGCAACGCATTCACTCACGCTCGTGGGTTGTGCCCAAGCGTGTGTGTGTCCGTTCGCCCGGCGCAGCGGTGGCGCGTCCGATTGCGCTAGTGCGCGACCACCCAGCTGGCGCATAAATCAATTCCAGCTAGTCAACCGTAGCTACACATGCAGTAAAATATAGCAGCAATAACAACAGAAACAAAATGTTAATAAAATGAAGTGAACGAACATGATCGAAAAACGATCAAAAATCACAAAGCGGCGGGCTGGCAACTGCTGGTGTGCGCGCCTAAATGCAGACACATAAAAACACACACACACCCACTTCTGTGTGTGTATGCAAACACGCTGAACTTATTCAAATTGAAAATGATCGACTTTGTCATCTGATCATTTGATCGGCGCCGATCGGCAAACAAAGACATGTGTGCGCACATCAGCCTAACCCTTATTGAAAGCAAAAAATGGCAGCAACACAACGCCGATCACCACACACAAAAGCAGCAACAACTCATACAAGCGCACGATCACTAACTAACTGTTTATGCGGAGCTCGCATGCGTTCGATCGCCAACGACGATTCGCATGAACGCACCCCGAAACAGCAGCGCGTCACCCGCTGCGCTTAACAATTTTCGCATATCGCTGAAGTCTATCCAAGCGCTCTTGAGTGTGCGTGTGTGTGTTTGCGTAGTCAATACAGAAATTTGCAATTGTTTTGATTTGATTTGCATTCTCAAATTTGTTTAGCGCTAATTTCGCAATG